TCCCTCAATTATGAATTTTCAACATTTTAAGGCCATTTTCAACTGTTAGTCTGGACGTCACCAGCAACAAAATGTGTTTTCCATATTCCATTATTGTATTGTTAGTTGCAACTAAAACTGGACTGCTCCAAAAATGCAAAAAGTGTGGTAAAAGTGCACGTTTACGTCAAATTGGTTTGGTTGTCTTCGGTGCACTTATTCCTTACTCCACTTTTATCACGCTTTTTAATAAGTGAAAACGCGCTTATTTGTCCAGTTTGGTGGGAAATGCATAATGTTCAATAACAAACAAAACATTCTCAGATATTATGGCAGTCAGACTTTCCCGTTTCTATCTTCAGCATGGAAGGTGCCGAATGGACACGACTCCGCTGTTGATTTCTTTCGAATTGCTGATCCTAGCCCCAGGAAAAGCCTCACCGGACAATAAAGCCCCCTACGTCGAACAGGTGGAAAAGGAATTAATTTTTTCTACTCGTCGCTGGGGCTTGGCAAGAATTTAGAGAAGGAAGCCACCCACGGCTGATGGACTTTCTGTGCGAGAATATTGCGAATCAAATTCCCGTTCAAATACAGCTGTAAATATTAACCGAAACCTAGTGATCCATCGTCACCACCCGTTTCTTCTAAGTGCACACACTTATATAGGTTCAAAAGATTTGTCAAGACCAAACTAAGGCCTACAAGACTATGATAAAATCGAAATTGTTTCTTGGGATGAGTATAGGGGAAATGGCTCTTGTTAGGTTTAGATCACTTTGAAGCTAAATAATTTGAATTCAAATTGGGATCCATCTCCAATGCACCTTTCGGCACCAGGATCACGGGTGTTGGATATTGTGCGCTTCATTGTACGACGCTTGAACCTAACCCTATCACTCATTGGGAAGTCTTCCCAAGGATTGCAGTACCGTATACAAATTACAAGGCCTGTTTTTGGACAGGTACATGTGAGTATCTGTCCATTCTTTCCCTTTCCCATTGTACGGTGCTTCCTGGGTCTGTTTTTTTGTAACGATTTCGTGTACCGTTCCTGATTTAAAGTCATTAAAATTCTCGGATGATAATACCACCTACCTGTGCGGAAGAACATTTGTTACCCCAAGAAGAAGGATTATCGCCGAATCGTTACCAGTAATAGCGTGCAGCCCGTACTTTAGATCGCTAGTGCACCAAGCGCCCCCTGCCATCTATCCACGGACGTGGTTTGATTTGTATCGGAGGTTCCAGTTTATTTATAAAACAAGGCCTGTCTTTGGACGGGCACAGGTGAGTGTCTGTCCAAACTTTTCCAACCCTACTTTCGGTACTTCCTGGGTCTTTCGATCATTCCAGCCATCCATCGGAAGTGATCAAACCCACATCATGTCGGAGGCGAAAATGAAGCAGTTGAAGCGACGAAACATCATGGATTCGATAAACCGCATCGACGAGTTCCTGAACATTTTCAACTCCGAACGAGACTCTAAGGAGGTAGCGATACGATTGAGCAGACTGAATATACTGATAGAAACTTTCGAGACAATAAAAGGTGAATATGAAGCATTCGATGATTCCGACAAATTTGTGGGTGCAAATATATATGTACCAGTTCAACCGGCACCGGCAGTTCCCGCAATTTACCATTTGAGTGGCGTAAAGCTTCCGACGATTTCTCTACCGCAGTTTGCAGTTTGACGATCACGATTCGTTCAATTCGTTAATACACTCATCGGCAGAAATCCCAAGCACTCCAGCTGATTGAATCCCTGAATTTTAATGCAAACAATTACGGTGTTACTTGGGAGTCTCTGTTGAATCGGTATTCCAACAAATACCTGCTGAAAAAGAAACACTTGCAGGCCATTACATTCTAACCTAAGGTCCTGAGCAAATCCGCTTCAACACTTCGTGCCAAGGTGGAAGAATTCCAGTGGCACGTCAAAATATTGGGCCAACTGGGTGAACCCATAGCAGAATCGAGCAGCTTGTTGGTTCAATTACTTTGCTCAAGAGTCGACGAGCAAACCCTTAAGGATTAGGAGGAGTTCGTGTCCGCTGATGGAGATCCTACGTACACCTATCTTGTCGAATTCCTCACCAAGAAAATACGTACACTGGAATCCCTGTCGATCACTGCAGAACAATTCGCACCATCCTTCCAAGGCAAACACAATCCCCCCTCAAAGCAACCAAAGTCGTCCCATGGTCCTCTTTCTTCTCGGGTTGGTAGCTACGCTGCAGCAACAGAAAATTACCTACCTATGTGTCACGCATGCAGTCAACATCATCTCCTGGTGAAGTGTCCCGTCTTCGAGAAAATGTCGCTGAAGGATAGGCTGAACGTGGTCCGCAAATGTCCCTCCAATTTCTCCTGTCGTACTTGTCAAAAGCGACACCACACTTTGCTGCATCCTGGATTCAAAACATCGGTAACTGGCAACGGAAACATTAATCACGGTCAAGGACAAAGTTCCCAATCCCATCCAGTCTCCAACGTTGCTAGGTAGATGTGAAGTCGAAATGGTCCCAACTACTACTGAAGACACGGTTTCCTCCGACTCTGTATCCGACCCGCGAAGTGTGAATGGGTTCCTATCTACTGTCGTACTCGTCGTTGTGAATGGATATGGGAGAGAGCATCTTGCACGAGCACTATTGGATTCGGGCTCACAATGTTGTTTGATGAGCGAACGACTCTGCCAACAATAAACCAACCCATCTTCGGCGTCGGTGAATCTCAAATTCGGGCTGTTGGTTCGGTCTCCTCCACAGAAGTTCGATCTAGAATCGACGAATTTTCGGTCTCTCTGGATTGTTTGGTTCTTCGCAACATCACCACAAGTCTGCCTGCGGTATTAATTCCAAAGAAAAATTAGACCATTCCCGAGGGCATTGACCTTGCAGACCCTGAATTCAACGTTTCACGGAAAATAGATTTGATCATTGGTGCTGAACATTTCTATACGTTCCTGAAGGGTGGCCGCATCAATTTGGGGAAATCATCACCCTCGCTTGTGGAGAGCGTGTTTGGGTGGCTAGTATCGGGAAAGTCGTCCTATGAAACGATATCCCAACCCCCGCTATGCCATATTTCTACCTTGGAGTCACTCGATCGGAACATCGAGAAATTTTGGCGAATAGACGAAGTAGATACCAGAATTCTATCAACAACCGAGCAGTGCTGTGAGGATTTCTACAAACGCTCAGCATCCCGGGAATCGACTGGGCGATATGTGGTCAAATATCCCAAAAAGGAAGGCTTTTCCCGTATGATTGGTGACTCCTACTGCAATGCCTTGCAACGGTTGGAGAGCCTCGAAAGGAAACTGGATCGGAACGTGGAATTGAAAGAGAAGTATTAGGCATTCATGAGGGAATTCATAAATCTAGGACATATGCGTGAAGTCTCCCCAGATCAAGAAGAACCCGCTATAGTTTGTTATCTTTCCCACCACCCGGTGGTGAAGGAGTCGAGCACGACCACAAAGGTCCGTGGTGTATTTGACGCATCGGCGAAAACCAGTTCTGGAAATTCACTGAATGAAGCGCTCTTGGTCGGCCCCGGTATCCAAGACGAACTGTACGTTATTGTCCTCCGCTTTCGTAAATTCAGGATAGTCTTACTGGCAGATATCGAGAAGATGTACCGCATGATCAGCATGCATCCTGATAAGTGGTTCCTCCAATGTATACTTTTCCAAATACGTTCTAACAACAGTGACGTATGGATTGGCTCCCAAGACGAAGGCGATTCGTTTCCCCGCGCTGCAGAGGCGCTAAAGCAAGACTTTTACATGGACGATTTCATCCGAGGAGAGAATAGCGTCGAGTCGGCGATCAAATTACGACGAGAGATAACTGAGTTACTCAAACGTGGAGGTTTTCGACTGAGAAAATGGTGTTCCAATTCCCAAGCGGTCCTAGAAGGAGTTCCGGAAGATGACCTAGCCACGCAATCCAGTCGATCTTTCGATGCCGAAGAGACAATTAAAACGTTGGGAATCGGCTGGGAACCATCGACCGACCAGTTTCGATTCAGCATCAACGTGAGCATGAAGGAAGGATCGATAATCAAACGGAAAATTTTGTCGGAGATCGCAGCCTGTATGATCCACTTGGTTTGATTGCACCGATTGTCGTTCGGGCCAAGATATTGATGTAACAGTAGTGGATGCTGTCTTTGGACTCGGACGAGGAGGTCCGAGCCAAATGAATGACTTTTATTAACGAGCTGCCCTACCTAGTCAGTTTTCGTATTGATCGGTATGTTTTTGAGGAGGGGATATGCAACTACATTGTTTCGCAAATGCATCCGATGTTGCTTATGGCGCGTGTCTGTACGTGCGTACAATTGGAATCAACGGAGAAGTGAACGTTGAAGAGGGTGGTCCCACTGAAGAAGCGTAGTATTCCACGGTTGGAATTATGTGCAGCCCAAATCGCTGCTCATCTAGCTACGAAAGTCCGCAAAGCGCTGGAAATTGAACCTGGATCCATCTGGTTTTGGTCAGATTCGACGATGGTCTTGCAATGTTGGATCTAAGACAGGGCCCATCGCTAAAAAAAACCTGCTATTTATCAGAAAATCTAGAGAATATTCCTCGAAAATTAAAAGTAAAATATGCATACTGAATTAAAACTGAATTGTAGAGTGAATTCCACATTTTTTCAGAATAAATTTTGTCGAGTGTTCTACAAAGAAATGCTAAAAAGTTGTGGAGAAAATTTCAAGGGAAAAGTTACATTCGGGGAAACGCGTTTTCAGGAAAGGTTGAACAATCGATTGAGGTTAGGAACATCTTTTGTTCTAGCTTTTTGCACCTCAAAACTACGAAAAACCTTCTGGTAAGAAAAGGATCGATATCTCAGACAAATCCCGCACCTAGTTAATCACCGCTATTCAATGTTCCGTTCAAAACGAATTTCCAATACAAAAACACAAACATTTTGTATGGGAAATCCGTTTCGAACGGCATACAGAATAGGGGTGAATGTGTTTTTTGCAAAGTTGAGCTCACCTGCGCGTAGGCCATCTTGGTAACCTTTTCCAGGTCGTTCTGCGCTCCGGTTGTAATCCGATTAAAGGTAATATTCTCCGCCGCTCGTCCACCCAAAGCCATGCACATCTTGTCGAACAGTTGGTCCTTGCTGTACAGCTTCTGCTCCTTCGGAGTGTACTGGGCGAACCCCAGCGCCAAACTTGTCCTCGGTACGATCGTCACCTTGAGCAGGACATCCGAATTCGGAAGCAGCCACCCAACCAGCGCATGGCCGGACTCGTGGAACGCAATTACCCTTCGCTCAGCATGCGACAGGGCATGGGATCGCTTTTCCGTTCCGCCTACCAATCGCTCAACAGCATATTCCAGATTTTTCGTTGTCACTATCTTCTGACTAAACCGAGCCGCATGCAATGCTGCTTCGTTGCACACGTTGGCAATGTCCGCCCCGGAAAATCCGGGCGTCAACGTCGCTAACCGGGAAGAGTACTTATCCGGAGCAGCTTCCAGCGAAATTCCCGACAGGTGCTTCTCGAAGATTTCCTTTCGCTCGATCAGGTTCGGCAGATCGATCAGAATGTGCCTATCGAACCGTCCTGGCCGCAGCAGAGCCTTGTCCAAAATATCCGCACGATTCGTACTGGCCAACATTAGGACCCCCTCCTTGGAAGCCATTCCGTCCATTTCGACTAACAGCTGGTTCAGAGTTTGTTCCGACTCTCCGGAGCTGACTCCACCAAAGCTTCCACCGCCATCGCGCTGCCGTCCGATGGCATCGATTTCGTCGATATAGATAATGCAAGGCGATCGTTTTTTCGCTTCCTTGAACAGATCCCTCACCCGAGCAGCTCCCAATCCTCCAATCATCTCAATAAACTCCGAACCGTTCATGCTCAGGAATGGAACTGCCGCTTCCGTTGCCACCGCTTTCGCTAGCAAAGTTTTTCCGCATCCAGGAGGCCCCAATAATAGCGCTCCTTTTGGAACCTTAGCACCAAGCCGCTGATATCGCTCGGGGGATTTCAAATAGTCAATGAATTCCTTAACCTCCTGCTTGGCTTCCTGTAAACCGGCAACGTCCTTGAAGAAAACGCCACGACCTCCCTCGACCGGATCAACCAAGGTGAACTTCGCACGGCCCATCTGAGTCTGAAATCATAATCAACAATTAACCAGACAATCTGAATTAAAAGCTCCTATCCTTAACAATCTAAGACTTACAAACGAATCCATACTAATCGGCCCCCGAATGCCCCGCATCCGACTCAGCAGCGCAATTATCACCCCGGTGGCAATCAGCGTAAACAGGATTCGCCCACTAACATCCCCACTGCGCTCGAACTGTACTGAAACACCATCCTTGATGCCCAGTCGCTTCTCCACCAGTCGAAGCTTCTCCTCGAATTTGTTCACATCCGCCACGGCCATGTGGAAAATGTTCGAGTGCGCCCGCCGTCCCTTGATGACCGCCCCGTCGTGCAACAGAATCGTCACCGTTTCCATGTCCGGATGAACTACCACCTCCTTAACCTCTCCCACTGCCAGCATGTGGTGCACAAACTCATGCCAACTGACATACCGGGTGGTCGTCTCCGGCCGGTTCTTGTTCGGCATCACCATCGACAGGAATCCCACCAGCAAGTAGATGGTAACCATCCAGAACAGGGTTTTCGTCACCACCGACATCATCTTCTCCTTGTCGTCGTCCTTGTTTGGCTTCGGAGGTCGGTTATTACCTCCGGAGGAACCACCGTCGTCACGATTCTGTTGACATCGTTGCAAGGACGTGTGAAAACTACGACTCAAGAGGTGCTGAGGCACTCCGTAGGAACGGGAAAAGAGACGCAAAATAGCGCGATATTCATCGTTGAAGTGGCGGAGCTGATGGTGTTTCAGCTGCTGTGGGCGGGTCGTCGCATCGATTCTAGATGCGGTGCAGTTGTTCGGTCCACCGGAAAGCTTGCCAACTGAAGACGAAAGCGATCGAAGCGCTGCCCTGGGAAGTCTACCGGTGATTGAGTGTTTGAATGGTCCTAGTCTCAACATGATGTATTTTGAACGGCGGATTCTGTGAACATGCTAAAAACTAGCTGTAAACTAGCTTGTCTAAAAAATATATACTGATAATCACAATATTCACAAAAGTTGACTAGAAACTAGATTTTTAGGGAATTTGCTAAAGAAATAGTCACTGTTATGAAATTCCGAACTCGCGAGCACTTTTCCGAAACGAAAATGATGACAGATGAACGAATGTTTTGAATTTGTCATGTTGCCCATGCAGCACATAGCACAGCTGTACACTGGTGCATAGTGGGTTCGGGAAGATCAGTTTTCCTCGAAATAAATATATAAATAATAGTACGTTCAGACTACAGAGTTATAACAACAATCAATACGAAACTAACGATTTTAAATTGGCTCACCACTTTAGTAGCCTATTGGTCCCAAGCAAACGATTAACGTACCCTATTCTAGTTGAAATTCTATTACTACACTATGTTTGTTTTGATTCGCTATGAAAGTTTGACAGATAACATCAGGGGTGTGTGGATTCATGCAGAACATGCAGGGGTGAGTGAAATAGCTTGGGACTGCTTGGGACCGTTGTTCTGGTACTGAGTGAGCCAAAAATAATAATGATTTTCTTCGGGACCCAGTGGTCTTAGAGTTACCTCTATGGTTATAACATGTTATAGCGCTATCTTGATGGTGGTTTCTGTGTTGCAATTATTTGACAACCGTTATAACATGTTATAACTCTCCAGTCTGAACAAGGCATAACACAAAAAATATCATCGTTACAGCTGTAAAGTGCGAAAAAACAAACTATCCGCATAAATGCGAACCATAACTTGAATGCTGTCCAGACTGGAAAGTTATAACATGTTAAAACGGTTGTCAAATAATTGCAACACAGTACGTTCAGACGACAGAGTTATAACATGTTATAGCGCTATCTTGATGGTGGTTTCTGTGTTGCAATTATTCGACAACCGTTATAACATGTTATAAGTCTACAATCTGTACAGCGTTTAACCAACAATCAATACGAAACTAACGATTTAAAATTGGCTCACCACTTTAGTAGCCTATTGGTCCCAAGCAAACGATTAACGTACCCTATTCTAGTCGAAATTTTAGTACTACGCAATGTTTATTTTGATTCGCTATGAAAGTTTGACAGATAAAATGAGGGGTTATTGGTTTTTCCTATGTTTCGAGGGGTGAATCATTAGCTTGGGACCGAAGAGAGTACCAGAGCTGAGCCAAAAATTTGAGCACGTTATTTCGGGACCTTCTAGTCTTAGAGTTACCTCTATGGTTTAACTCTGTAGACTGAACGTACTATTCGCCTTACCTTGAATGGTTCAAAATGGTTTATAATCCACGCTAATACCAACAATCAATACGAAACTAACGATTTTAAATTGGCTCACCACTTTAGTAGCCTATTGGTCCCAAGCAAACGATTAATGTACCCTATTCTAGTTGAAATTCTATTACTACACTATGTTTGTTTTGATTCGCTATGAAAGTTTGACAGATAACATCAGTGTGGATTCATGCAGAACATGCAGGGGTGAGTGAAATAGCTTGGGACTGCTTGGGACCGTTGTTCTGGTACTGAGTGAGCCAAAAATAATAATGATTTTCTTCGGGACCCAGTAGTCTTAGAGTTACCTCTATGCTAATACCCCGTACAGACTATGGCTTATATCATATAATTTATGCTGTCTTGCAATGAGCACTCATACATAGGATTTCCAGCGAAAACTAGATGTATGAGTGCTCATTGCAAGACAGCCCTAATAAAAAATAACCATAAACGAACGATAACCCAAATCATTGAACTATTCCACAAATGGTTTGGATGATACCCAGAACACGTTGTTAAGCAAATTAACCATACAATTTTTATTAGGGAGCCTATATTACATCATATAAGCCATAGTCTTTATACAGAATATGGCGCATATCATGTAATATCTAGATAGAGCTGGAATAAGGGCGAATGTCACAAGTGTAAACAAACTGAGGTTAATGCATCACGTTATACTACTATTGAAATGCTACAAAACAATATTAAAAAAAATTGGTAATATAATGTCCATTCTTAAAAAACGCAAAAAACATGAGGGTGAAACCAATTTTTTTTTATTACAAATTAAGTTGTCTCTTACGCCCGCTTCCTCCCATATACATAGATGAGGCGAAACAGACATATTTTCTCAATACATGGCGAAAGATATAATGTGAATCTTTTCACTACTCCTTGCAATTACCGGTTGGTAATCAAAAGGAAACATTGTTAAACAAAGTGAAAACACCACAACGCATGAAATTACCTGGAATCCAATAAACTGCAAAAGGTCGATACGCCTTTTTAATGCACCACCAACGTAGAGTGCGCCACGCGAGTTCGAGAAGAAACGTCAACCAAACCGCTTGTTTACATCAGAATAACTATTTTTCACAACGCAAATTAAAGCATTTTTCATTCAACATCTTGCCAATTTCTATCGGTAATTGTCGTATTGTACGATTTTCCACAGATCTGAACTGATTTGTACCTTAACTATTCACACACAAGAAATCCGGAAGATCATAACCACTAAGGCTCTTTTCTAATTTTCCATTTTTCTCAACAAAAATATTCCTGAGCACCAACAGGATCTTTGCAAAAACGTTTTCGAGCATCTCAGATAAATCAATTTGTCAGGGAAAGTAAAAAAATATTCCGCTTCCTATGTCTCAAGGCAAAAGTTTCTGCTCACAACACTCTTTTTGACGTTCTCCTATTCACCACCAGAGGTTGAATCGATCGTTTAGTTCCTATTAAAAAGGCATATAGTAACAAACCATCAGGAAAAAGAACGTAAACATTGTGGCGAAATAGACAATGTCAAAAACTAGCAGGCGAAACATAGGGGCAAAATGGCTTCTGTGAACGCAGCCGGGTGAATAACCTTGGGGCCATACAAGATAAAATAAATCAAAAAGGCGCATGCAATATTTTAATTTTTTTCGAGCTGTAAATAAAAATAATAATATCAGTACCAACATTTCAAAGGGGCATAATTGCTTTTTTAAACAATGACTTTAGCCGTCAATTTCTCGCGAATGAAATCTTACCTCTCTAAAATTACAATGCTAGCTGGTAGAGAAAAAATTCATCTACCTGCTGGTGCCATTATTTTTCATGAGTGAGCTTTTATTCGCGAGAAATCGACGGCTAAAGCCATTGTTTACAAATGCAACTACGCCCCTTTGAAATGTTGGCACTGATATTTCTATTTATCTCAAAATAATGCTAACCAATCATTGAATAATTAGAAATAGTCCAGTTTTAGAAACGGGTTTATGACGCATTTCACGCCAAATCGAATCGAAGCTGGCAGCACCCTCTCAGATTTCAATAAAATTTTCTGGATGTGTGGACCTTGACTAAATATGCCACTTTGCATGCTTAATTTTTCCAAAATGTATCTAGACTAACATTTAAGAAGGGCTAAACTTTTTCTGCCGATTTTTTTCAAAAAAAGATTATGGAAAAATGACAACTCCTACAAAAATATGTTGTATGGATGACTTTTAGGAAATTGACCAAGTTATCGAAAAAAAAAATACTGGAAAAAAATTCATTTGAGACCTACACTGAAAAAAAAATATTTTTAAAATTTAAATTCGATTTAAAAAAAATGGCCATGGTTGATTTGGATGAAACTTTGCCTCAAGATAGGTAATTATGTTTACTACCATCCGTCCATACATCGCAAAATGGGCACTTTTAAGGAAAAAAAAGTTTTTCTTACTAAAACTTTTTCATGTCTGAACTGATATTTTTTTTTTGATTTGCCATTTTCACACAAAACTAAACCAGTGAAGCTCAAAATCATCACAGAATCCAATGAAGCTCAATTTGCGATTCAATTTTGTCTAATCAGCACTTAAGTTCACTTTGATTAATCGAGAATTTCATATGAAAAGGGCTCATGATGCATTTCTCGCCAATGTGGGAATCCCAGCGCAGGTGTACACAGGTTATCCAAACCGAACTACCGGACAATAAACACCCGTCCCGGGAGGCGCGTGATAACGAAGAAAAATAACAACCGCGGACTACGTTCTACGTGCGTCTTTATTTACAAGTTACAATGGACTAGTCAACAAACATAAATTGTACACACATCAGCAATTTATGCTTCGTCAGTCTCTCACTCTCACGCACTCATACACACTCATACTGGCAGCTGTCATCAACGTTCCCGGGGCTGCTATAGACACTCTTGTTGATAGACACGCGTCCAGGGGCATTCACTACTTACTTCCAACAGCCAAATCGTATTTGGAATTGGCAGCACCCTCTCAGAGTTCAATAAAACTATTTGGAGATGTAGACCTTGTCTAAAAAATATCATTCCCTTATTATGTTGTCTACTATTGATGCAAAATGTGATAATATGTGAGAGAGAAAAGACAAGATTTTTCATATATCATTTATTTATATATTTTCAATGTTTTAAACCTATTTTCATACATGCTATTTTTTTCCTTTTTCCAATCAAGTTAAATATTTTTGGTTCATCTTCTGAATTAGAATACCTTTTTGCCGCTACTTTGTCACCAGTTATAGACACAAAACTGTGGAATTTCTGTGTGCCAGATATTGTCTTTGTGCTGTTATATAGTTCTTCGAGTTCTTCTGACATTTCGATGTACTGTTCAGTGGATATGTACTCGAAACGTAGTTTTGTTGTATTTTTATCTGTTTGTTCAACTGCCCAGTTATAAAATTCTCGTGGAGTTGTTATGGTGTTTCCATAATCTCGAGCAAGACTAGCTCTCTTTGCCATTCGCTTGAGGGTGCCACCAATCGATCAAATTTGAACGTTTTCATGTCAAACGACACAACCCAAACGTCAAATTATATGTTCCCTACCAAAAACTCGACCAGATTGTGGCGGCCATAAGCGCTCGCAAAATGCTGGATATAGTGGACAAAGCTGTATCACCATTTCAGTGCCAACATTTCAAAGGGGCGTAATTGCTTTTGTAAACAATGACTTTAGCCGTCAATTTCTCGCGAATGAAATCTTACCTCTCCAAAATTACAATGCTAGCTGGTAGAGGAAACATTCCTCTACCTGCTGGTGTCATTTTTTCATATGAGTGAGCTTTTATTCGCGAGAAATCGACGGCTAAAGCCATTGTTTACAAATGCAATTGCGCCCCTTTGAAATGTTGGCACTGATTTATATACTCGCTGTATACCATGATGGAAACCTCGAGTGAGAATTGAACAGATTTTTTTTCTTCTCTGATCCTGGCAACACTTCTTGTTGGCCCATGCAGCAACTCCAGTTACCGGCGTCCATTTTTGTTTATCCCATCACTGACGTTTCTTCAACAACGGCGATTTGTTTTTATTCTACGCATCGATACTTTTAAAACCCAGAATTTTCCGAGAAATAAGTTTTACCGAAAATATGTGATTTTAAAATTTAATTGTGACTATCGGTGTTCTCAAACATTGGAAACGGCAGTGGAAGTGAGAATAATACGATATTGAGCCAATCAATCCGTGGACCAGCGCAAAACCTTACTAAAAAGGTACGTCCTTTTTCATCTACCATGTCAACGATGGGGTGCCATTTAAAAATGGCTGCTGTTTGGTAATCAGTACTGTTCGAAGGACGAAAACAATTATTTTTGTTCGCTCTAGAATGTTTCTTCTTTATTATAGAAATCTGCATATAAACATAGAAATAAATAATTTCCACGCCTTGTTTCAAATCATGCTCATTGAATAAAATAAAATTAAAAACCTCTCAGACCTCACACAACATTCGCCTTCCGTGATGCACTACTCTGGAAGTTTAGGTATGGCATTGTTCACCCTTTCCTGGCATTTATTATACTCGCGTTCGTTTGAACCCAAATCGATACCCGAACGGTAGTGTATTCCGCTTTGTGTTCATTAGGAATGTCCTTTTTTTCTGCTTAACTACAATTCTGATTCGTTAATGTGTTCTTATTTCACTCGCCGCTAAGCGGCGACCAGTCATTGGAGTTAAAATATAAACTTTGTGACTCGCAATCTCGGCTTCCCTTTTGATTTGTACTGTAAATTTCTGCAATTATGATGGTGTTGTGCTCTTCTTTTTTTAATAGATTTCCCTTCGCCTTTCGCATAGTTGAATCACTGGGTGCGCACATTCATGTACATATTTTCCACATCCTCTCTTTGAAAGATTTGCTGTTGCTTTAGGATAGCGACGGGACAGGTTTCAGAATAAGTCGCCTACGATCCAGCGTCGATTGGTTGCGGGAACGAGTGGCCGAATAGATCTGCAATGTGGTTGGTAGAGGAAATGGGACGTTTTTAGTTGCAAGAGTAGTGGCCAAATTGAGTGATCTACAGTTGCTGCATGTAACCGCCACCCAAGCCTACAGTTTGAAAGTGGGTTTATTTAATTGAATATGTTAAAACTAATGACATGCATAATCTGATGAGTGGATGCTTCAGTAGATGAAACTAATGTTTAATATAATGTATTTTTCTCCCATTCTAACTAGTATTAAAGGCCCATGCATACTGCATTGTTTAGTGTAATCGAAATGACTAGCAGATTGCTAAATCGATTGTCTGACAGACGGATTTTGCGCAACGTTGCATGGATGCAATGTGCGTGGGCTTTAAGGTTTCGTAATCATGCAGTTAAAGGCGTCACCAGTCATCGCTATATTTAAAGTCTGGTGGATAGAATCTCGGGATCCATTTGACCTGTGAAATAACGGAACCAATCGAGCATATCGCAACCAACAACAGAAAAGAGCACATCTTGCCTACGCAAACCAACACCATCATCGAGTTGGGGGAAAGTTTCCCCTATCCGATGATGCTGTTAACTTGGTGAGGAAAGAACTATTAAAGCTTTGTTTATGAAAGTTGATAGTACCTTCTCAATTGTTGGTCTACAATATATTTAATTCTATCCGCCAGACTATAAATATAGCGACTATAGTAATGTAGGTGTGTTGTGTGTCGCAATGATGGTTCGATTCCCACACCAGTTGGTGGAACGTTTCGAGGTCTACGGGGTGCTCTATCACTCTATGTATAGTGGTCCGTTGACTTGTGTTAAGTATTATGTAAGTGTAATCTCTAGTTGAAGACGGTGTGATTTGTATTTTCCTTTATTAATTAGTGCTGAGTAGATCTCAAGGTGTTATAGGAAATTTCTACTTTGAATAAACAGAAGAGAGCATTCTTGAAATTTTACCGGCACCAAGATTAGCATTTTCTATTACTTTTCAGCAATACTAATGCCTATTAGGAATCTTTTTAAACGGATTTAGAAGTTTATATTTATTTTCTTTTATTCAACCGAAACATAATTGAAAAGGTTAAAATAATTCCAAAACAACGATCGTGATTGTGATAGGTCGCAATTCTGATCACAACAATGAATTACCAGAAATTAATTCGCGGAGCTTTGGCATATTTTTCGCGGAGATCTAAAATATTTTTTTTTACGAATTGAGCACTTTTACGGGTGTCCCACACACTTAGTTTTTTGTACCGAGCTCGGCTGTGCAAATCTCGGCAAACATAAGTTTCACTGAGATCTCAGCAAAAGTGACATTTAATTACTGAGTCTCGAATAATGCTTGGCTGAATCTCAGCAAACAAATGAAATGTTTGCTGAGATTTAAACAGCTGAGCTCGGAAGAAAAAAGTAGAAGGGTCTGTGCCTAGGGCACGAACGGAAGCTTGACGTAGGACCGCTAGTGGACGGAATAAATGTGAAGAGCATTTAGTTCTTTTAATTGATCAATTATCTATTATCTCAACTCTTTCCGTTTTTGAATTGTAGGCGTACCAAATTTGTAGTATTTTTTTTTTCAAAGAGAAAGTTGATGAAGAGAATCAATCAAAATCACTTGCACCCCTGCTTCCAAGTTTGGTTACACGATTACAACTCTGGAGAGCATTTTGTGTGGTCGTTGGGGGCCTGAGGTTCTGAATATGGACAAACAAGCCAACTCTTTACTGTTATAAGCTTGATGGCCCTGAAAAGGGCCGTTTTATTGTAGAGGACATCCATGGCCACTTACGCTTGGCGTGTTTAGTGTAGGTGACAGCACCACGGACCTCATTTTCCAGGAACACCTTCAGCACACCTTGTAGATCAGACCGGAGATACGTTTGACACCACCACGGTGAGCCAGACGATGGATGGCGGTTATCTCGATGAACTTTGCGATGACGCTTGGCGCCTCTTTAACCAAGACCTTTTCCTCCTTTGACACGACCAGTCAATTGTTGCTTGTTAGGTGTGAAGGAGTGGACTAGCCACCACCTTCCTACTGCTGCTATTGCTGACCACCACGCCGTCCGAAGCGAAAATGAGTTGATGCTAGACTACTTATAACTACTATTTACAACTACAACTACTATATACACCTAATCTACTATATACAAATTGCTTATCAAAGCATGTACATTTTTGTGCAAATTTAGGCTTAATTTCGTTAATTCTGGAATCTATTTTGGCAATGCCTGCCTCTTCGTGTAAATTTGTTATTCTAGTGTCGAAAGGACGATCGAGTACCATCCTCAGCAGTCTATTCTGAGCGACCTGAATTTTGTTCCAGTGAGTCTGTGCACATGATTCCCACACCGGAGCTGCGTAGAGGATCGCAGGTGCTATAATTTGTTTGTAGACAGCCAGTTTGTTCACCCTTGAGAGGCGGGATCTTCGGCAAATCAGCGGATACAGACACCTAACCAAGGCGGAACACTTGATTACGGTTTTCTCCACATGCGAGCGGAATAGGAGATAGGTTACTTCGGCGGACCACTCGACCCTTGTGCCATCCATGATTACAGTACAAGAGGGAGCCAGTTTTAGTTTGGATGATTGTCAGTTAGCGCTCAACTTCCAAGCGAAGCAGTCGATTTATTCTCGCTGGAAGGCATTCGCAAGCTATATTGTTTTCATTGTTTTGAAGAGTTTTGTTTCGCGAGTTCTTGTCGCCGCGTAGTTCCGCCGCGATGAGTGTCCGACGCGAAAACACGTTTCGTATTCATTACGAAAACGTGCCGAAGAAGCCGTCCTTCGAGGAGCTTCATGATTTCGTTGCAATCGAGTTGGGTCTAGAATACGAGCAGGTGCTCCGACTCCAGCCAAGTAGGGCTCTTGGATGCGCTTTTGTGAAGGTTGTCGACCTGGAGCTGGCACAAAAAATCGTTGCCGAGCACGACAACATCCACGAAATCGAGGTCGACGGCAAAACGTACAAGCTTCGGATCACACTGGAGGATGGATCGGTAGAGGTGAAGCTAACGGACCTGTCCGAGCTCACCACGAACGAAAAAGTCGCTCGAGCTCTAAGCGCATACGGTGAGGTTCTCTCGGTGACCGAGCAAGTCTGGGACAGCAAATACCGCTTTGCTGGACGCCCGACCGGCGCTCGGATTGTGCGCATGATGTTGCAACGTAACATCGAAAGCTACGTCACTATCGACGGTCAGTCAACGAATGTGACCTACTCCGGACAGCTGCAAACATGCCGTCATTGCGGCGAATTCGTCCACAATGGCATCTCTTGTGTACAAAACAAGAAATTACTTGTGCAGAAGACGTATGCCAATGTAGCAAAAGAAACCGGACCGAAACCCATCGGCCCGAGTCCCATCGGCCCGAACCCCATCGGCCCGAATCCCACCGCGCCAAAACCCAACGCCACGAAACCCACTGCAACGAAGGAGAAATCGCCTCTCGTTAAACCGTTCGGACCGAAGCCCGTTGAGACGAACCAACAACGTAAAAATCCACCATCCCAACAACCGACCGTGCAGCCTACGCTCGCTGCTCCGAAGTCACCTAAACAAAACCCAATTACGTCAAAGCTGGCGAAAACAAATCAGTCCGAGCAAAATGCTACTCTCATGGCGCCGCCGGCTCTGATAAATTCTGTCAGCAGAATGGTCACACGACAAACTACCGATGGTAACGAATCCGATGGGTCATCTGCCTCTGGAAGCAGCAAGCGCCGTAGTGGTCGTCCTCCAGGCAAGAAGCAGCGACAACACTATGACGGTGATGCGAGCGAGGAGGTAGACTGCGAACTATAATGGCTCTCTGCAGTTACAATATCACCTCGATAAACATCAACACTATCACCAACTCGACAAAACTCAACGCACTACAAACCTTTCTACGCACGCTGGATATAGACATCGCACTCTTTCAAGAAGTAGAAAACGAGCAACTCACATTGCCCGGCTACACTGTTGTGTGCAATGTGGATCACTCACGAAGGGGGACGGCAATAGCGCTGAAGGAGCATCTGCGATTCTCAAACGTCGAAAAAAGCCTAGACGGACGGTTGATTGCATTACAACTGGAAAACACAACAATATGCAACGTGTACGCTCCATCTGGTACCGCACTCCGTGCAGAGAGGGAGCGTTTCTTCACCAATACTCTTGCTTACTACCTCCGCCATGGCACAGAACGCACACTAGTAGCGGGTGATTTCAACTGTGTCCTACGTCAACGTGACGCAACGGGAAACAATCACAGCCCCGCTCTTCTCGCATCCGTACAGTATCTGCAGCTTCTCGACGTTTGGGAACAACTCTGTCCAAACATCCCCGGCTACACGTACATCACACACAACTCGTCGTCTCGTCTAGACCGTATGTACGTCAGCCAGAGCCTTCGGAGTCAATTAAGAACAGCTGATGTGCATGTATGCTCTTTTTCTGACCATAAAGCCGTGACAGCACGAATTTGCCTCCCACAATCAGGGCGCGAGCCAGGTCGTGGGTTTTGGTCGCTCCGTCCCCATTTATTAACACCAGACAACATTCACGAATTTCAAGTGCGTTGGCAATTCTGGACCCGCCAGCGGCGGAATTACGGTTCATGGATGCAGTGGTGGCTAGCGTGCGCAAAGCCCAAAATAAAATCCTTTTTCCGTTGGAAGTCAAAGGCTGCTTTCGACGAATTCAATCAAGAACATCAACGCCTCTATGGAGAACTACGACGAGCGTACGATAGATACTATCAAAATCCTGCGATGCTGTCAACTATAAACCGTGTGAAAGCAAAAATGTTGACCCTTCAGCAAAACTTCACACAATCCTTCATGCGCATCAACGAGAATTTTATCTCTGGAGAACCTATCTCGATGTTCCAGCTGGGTGTCAGGCGTAGGAAACGAACAACCATCACACAGCTGCGTGACAACGATAACCAACTCATCGACGACCCCGGCGCAATTGAGCGGCACATGCTTGGTTTCTACCAATCACTATACGCTGCGGGTGAGACGGA